ACACCTCTAATCCATGGCCTCCTTATCCCGTCCCCTTACTTTGTTTCCGGACCTGAACGATCCCATAAGTTCTGTTGGACCGAGTGCCCCTGCTCCTACTTTTACTCCTCTTAACTTTCCTATGCTATCAATCGAGCAAATAATGGCAGCTCAATCTAATATTGAGGCCAACCATTATACGTTGAAGTCCTACATGGAGACAATGACTGCGGTCTCCAAGTTGTCTCACCGGCTGCAAAATAGGACAAGTGAGGTACAACAGTTGAACTCCCAACTCTCTCTACTTCAACGCATGTACAAAGATGCGCGAGCGGAGAACAAAGAGTTGAAATAGAAAGTCACCGTCATGGCCCGATTTGGAGCACCTTCGTACTTTGCTTTTGATGACCAGCAAGGAGTCAACCCTCTCAGTGGTCCTATAAGCACTGAGGCAGGGCCTTCAAGGGTCAACGACAAAAACAGGAAAGGCTTGGCGGAAGAGCCGAGTAAGTGAAGTCGGCGTGTGGCCATCATTGGAAAAACAAGATCCTTTTTGTTTATTTTTTCTCTTTTTTTTTCTCTCTTTTTTTTTTTCAAGTGTTGGAGTTCGACTAGTTTGACATCATCATTTTGTAAGGCCGAGCTCCTTTTCCTTTTTTCTTTTTTTTTTTTTTTTTAATGACCAATCCCCACGTGTATGTGGGGATGGTAAGGGTAGTGCAATGCCTCAAACCCCCACTGGGGGTGACCCCCTGGCCCCTAGTGAGGTGTGATTGGTATTCTTCTTTTTCTTTTTTTTTTCTTTTTTTATATCCAATGACCAATCCCCACGTGTATGTGGGGATGGTAAGGGTAGTGCAATGCCTCAAACCCCCACTGGGGGTGACCCCCTGGCCCCTAGTGAGGTGTGATTGGTATATTCCGGCAAAATAGGTTTTGTGCCTTAGAAAAATCAGAAGAAAGAACTTTCCATGCCCCCAACCAAGTAGAGGCTCCGAGACTATATGGGACGTCTAATCGAGCAGACCAGGCTTTGTGCCTTAGAAATGTCTAGTTGGATTTGGCTGAGCATTTCGTAGGTCGGCTTTTACTTGATTCGGTCAAGCTTAACTCATCGTAGAGTGTAACTCGGCTCTTCGTCGAGTGCGAGTTGTTACCATGGACTATGCTTTCAAGTAACGATACTTGGCACAAATTCCACCAAGCTATACCACTTGGCGCCCTACTCCAACCGAAAGGCTGAATTTGCAGGCTGGGGCGTAGGTTAAGACCTGTAACCTGTTCTTGCTCAATTATCGAGTGAAAATATGTACGACACATATGAAGAAGAACACAATTCATAGGGAAAAGGTGATTTCAATAATACTTAGAGAATTGCGACTACATTCAAAAGCTGTTTAGATCATTACATCACTGATAATATTTCTTCAAGTTGGCAACATTCCAAGGACGAGGAATGGGCTTGCCTACTAGGTCAGTCATTTAGTAAGCTCCGTTGCCTATGGCAGAGGTAACTCTGTAAGGCCCTTCCCAGTTAGGGCCGAGCTTCCCTTCACCAGGGACCTTCTTATGATCCATGACCTTCCTTAGCACCAGATCTCCAGGTAGAAATTGGCGAATTAGCACATTTTTATTGAAACTTCTAGTAAGTTGTTGCTGGTATGCTGCCAGATAAATGAGCACGGCCCCTCTGCGCTCCTTTGTCAGGCCAAGAGCTTGGGCGATAGCCTCATCATTATTTGCTGGTTTAAAGATTTCTGACCAAATAGTGGAAAGGCCGATCTCCAAGGGGATGATGGCCTCCATCCCACAAGTGAGAGAGTAAGGTGTCTCCCCTGTCAATCGCTGTGGTGTTATTTTATACGCCCACAGAACGTTTGGCAGTTCTTCCACCCATTTGCCTTTGGCTTTCTCCAGCTGCTTCTTCATTCCATTGATGACCGTCTTGTTAGACGTTTCAGCTTGACCATTGCCTTGAGGGTAGACTGGAGTAGAATTTCGAAACTCAATTTTTAAGTCAGAACAGTACTTCTTGAAAACCTTCCCATCAAACTGGGTGCCATTGTCAGATAGTAGGGCCCTTGGGATGCCGAACAGAGTAATGATGCTCCTCCAAACGAACCTTTTCATGTCAGCTTCCTTTATGCTTGCTAAGGCTTCAATCTCCACCCACTTAGTGAAATAGTCAGTGGCAGCAACGAAGAACCTTTTGTTAGTAGTACCCCTTACTAGAGGTCCAACGATGTCCAGACCCCAATGTGCAAATGGCCATGGACTGGTGTGGGGAGTTAAGTTCTTGGCTGGTTGATGAATGAGTGGGGCAAACCTTTGGCACTTGTCGCATTTTTGGACATACTATTGGGCATCTTTCTGCATACACAGCCACCAGTACCCATGAGTGAGGGCTCGGTGTGCCAAGGACCGACCTCCAGTGTGACTACCACAGATCCCTTCATGGATTTCATAAAGAAAGTTCTCCACAAGATTAGGGTAAACACAAAGAAGATACGGACCAAGGTAAGACTTTTGTAGAGCTTGCCCGAAGGTGAGACCCAAAACCGCGCAGCTCGGTGCCTTGTTTTATGTACTTCTTTTTTGTCATCTAGAAGGGCACCATTTTCTAGGAAGGCAATGAATGGGTCCATCCAGCTCGGACCGAGGTCAGTACAGAGGACCAAGCTGGGTGGATTGACAGTCGGTTGAGGAACAAATTCAACCCATATCTTGCGACCATTTCTAGAGTCCACCGAAGAGCCAAGACAGGCTAAGGCATCGGCGTGGCTATTTCCATCATGGCCAATTTTCACAACCCTGATAGCTTGAAATTTACGGATCAGGTGCTTGGCTTGTTCTGCATAGGATGTCATCCGGTCATCGCCAGTTTCGTATACTCCAGTCAATTAGTTCACCGCAAGTTGGGAGTCACTATAAACGACTCCTCTGCATTAAAGTGTTCAGTGTTGCGTAGACCAGCTAGCAGAGCCTCGTACTCTGCTTCATTGTTGGAAGCTTTCTATCCTAGTCTGACGGCTTGCTCCCAAACAAACCCTTCTGGTGAAATAAGGACCATTCCTACTCCAGAACCTTTTTGGTTGGAGGATCCATCAACGAACAGCTGCCAAACGTCTCCAATGAAAAGTTTCTATGCCTCGGCAGGGGTTTGATGAGTGTTGTGGATTCTGGTTGCTAAGGCCGAGCTCCCTTCGGAGGGGCCGGTCGGTCCTGGAGTGAATTCAGCTACGAAGTCTGCTAACACTTGAGCTTTGATAGCAATCCATGGCTGGAATTCAATGTCAAACCCCCCCAATTCTGTTGCCCACTTCACTGTCCGGCCCGAGAAATCAACTCGGCTGAACACGGACTTTAGAGGATACTCTGTGAGGACATTGATGGTGTGTCGTTAGAAGTAGTGAGCAAGCTTCCTAGAGGCTATCAGAAGGGTGTATGCCAGCTTCTCTAGAGGTAGGTATCTAGTTTCGACATCCAAGAGGGTTTTGCTAATGTAGTATATTGCCTTTTGTTCCTTCCCTTCCTCTCTAATCAAGACTGCACTCACAGCGTGATCGGAGACAGCCAAGTAAAGAAAGAGCACTTCATTGGGGACTGGAGTAGACAAAAGAGGAGGGAAAAAAAGATACTTTTTAACTCTGCGAGTGCTTCGAAGCACTGGTCACCCCATTCGAAGTCTGCCTTCTTCCTTAGGAGTTGGAAGAAGGGTCTCATTCGATCGAAAGACAAACTAATGAAACGATTTAATGCTGCAGCCGTACCAGCGAGCTTTTGGAGTTCCCTAGCCTTTGTAGGTGCCTCGATGTCTTGGAGGGCTTTGATATGGTCAGGATTGACTTCGATACCTTGCCTGGTCACCATATATCCTAAGAACTTCCCTAAACCCACCCCGAATGCACATTTCAAGGCGTTCAAGCGAAGCTTATAGGTCTTCAAGATTTGGAACACTTCCTTCAAGTCTCTCAGATGATGTTCGGCAATTTACTTTTGACCACCATGTCATCTATATATGCCTCCATAGTCTTGCCTAGTTGGTCCTTGAACATTTTAGTGACCATCCGTTGATAGGTCGCACCGACATTCTTCAGGCCGAAGGGCATCACTTTGTAGCAGTAGGTGCCCCTTAGGCTAATGAATGTTGTCTTCTCCTGGTCAGGGCCAAATAGGAGGATTTGATGGTAACCACTGTAGGCATCTAGGAAGCTCATCCGTTCATGTCCGGCAGTTGCATCTACCAGTTGGTCTATCCGTGCGAGAGGAAAGCTGTCCTTAGGACAAGCTTTGTTAAGACTGGTGAAGTCAACGCACACCCTCTATTTTCTATTCTTTTTCTTCACCATGTCGAAGTTAGACAACCATTTCGGATATTGAACCTCCCGTATGACCCCTACCACCAGAAGCTTGTTTACCTCTTGGATAACTGCTTTTGTATGTTCTGCGGATGATCGTCTGCTCTTTTGGACTACGGGCCGAGTTGCTAGTTGGACATTGAGTTGGTGACATGCAAAGGTTGGGTCCAACCCAGGAGTCTCGTAAGCAGACCAGGCAAATACTTCTATATTCTTGCGGAGGAGAGTTAGCAACTGCTCTTTCTCTCCGGCGAGAAGCGAAGTGCCGAGCAGAAAGAACTTGTCTGGATCTCCTCTGCCCACCAAGATCGTTTCGAGGTCCTCCACCATCTTCTCTATTAGTACTCTACCAACGTCTTCCAGTACAGGCTGATCAGGCAATTCGACCATCTGGACTTCCTTGTATGCTTGTTTAGACTTCATAACGGCGATGAAGCAGTGCTTTGCCGCTACTTGGTCACCCTTGATCTCCTCCACCCCATTCTTTGTTGGGAAACGGACTCCCTGGTGGTAAGTGGAAGGCACTGCCTCCATTGTATGAATCCAAGGTCGATCGAGTATTATATTGTAAGGAGATGAAGTGTTGATCACCAAAAAGTCGATAGGGACCACTTTGGACTTTGCCGTGACGGACAAGGTGATCCAGTCGAGCGACCACTCTGTTTATCCATTGAAGCCGATCAAAGAGGAGACTGCAGGGATTAAGTGTTGCTCATCAAGACCTAGCTTTTTGAAAAGGTCATAATACATAATGTCAGCGGCACTCCCTTGATCAATTAGGATCCGTTTCACATCAAATTTGTTCGCCACACCGACGGTGACGATCAGGACATCAGTGTGAGGATGCTGGATCCTTTCCAGATCTTTCTCGGAGAACACAATGTCGAACTGAGAGGGCTTTGCTTCCGTTCTGGACTTCTTGAGCAATGGTCCTACTGACATGACTTGTTGCAAGTGTGTGGCTCTTTGAATCTCACCACGAAGGGTTTTCTCCCTTTGGGGGTCTGTCATCCCATGGATAACGTTTATCACTAGCCTTAGGTCTTGGTCCTCTGGTAGAGGGATTGGAGGTTGTCCCTGTTTTGCCCTTGTCTTTTCCACATCAATCCATTGCTGGAGGTGGCGGACAGTGACCAAGTCTTCGAAATGCCTCTTAAAGTCTCTGCAGTTCTGCGTCTTATGTCCTTTCTCACGATGGTAGGTGCGCCGCCACTCCTGGTTGCGCCGAATTGGGTCCCCCATCATCTTAGGAGGCCAAACGAAGTAAGGTTCTCCCTTGATTTTTTCCAAGAGCTTGTAGATCGGCCCCGTGAAGATAGTGGTTATGGCTTCATAGGATCTACTCCTTTCTTCTTTAGTTTGCATGGTCGGTTGCTTATTTTGGCCATACCTTCTTCTTTGGTCCTCCCTCCTAGGCTGTTTGGCTCTATGTTGCCAAGAGGCCTTAACTCCCTCATCTGCAACTGACACTTGTATAAAGGTTGTGTCATCTTCCACACGGGCTCGCTCCTCTATTCGAGCCCTTAGCTCTTTCAAGTCAGAGGTGGGCCGTTTCGTCAATGACTGCCTGTGCTTATGTGAAGGGGGGAGGCCTTGTTTGAAGTATAGAGCTGCCAACGGCTCGCTACAAACATCTTCTTCCAAATCGCCATATGTCTTCCAATATCAACGAGCGTATTCGCGCAAAGACTCATTTTTATCCTTTCGAGTATTGAACAAGGTATCCAATCCCTTCGGGATTCAGCTATTAGAAACAAACCGTGTGAGGAAGGCTTCGGAGAGCTAAGCCCAATCATAGATTGATTGAGGAGGAAGCTCGTCATACCATCGGAGGCCGTGCTCACCAAGGCTAGAGGCAAAAACCTTGCACATGAACGTATCGTTCTGATTCCAAAGTGACATCATTTGGCAGTAATGGCTGATATAAGTCAGGGGGTCTGACTTTCCATCATAGAGGATGAATTTCGGTGGACTGTACTTATGAGGCGCTTCCATTACTTCAATCTCAGGGCAAATGGGGGAAGAGACTAGTCGGTCTAGAGCACGACGCTTTATCTGATGAATGGACCGATCTAGATGCTCCTTTTCCCTTTTTAATTGCCGTTCTGCTACTTTGTTCGACCATCGATCATCCCCTTGCTTGTCGTTCAACCATGTCCTCAAGTGATGCGGTCGCTCGTCACGATGGCGCGGAGGAGGAGAGATTGCTGAATAATAACTGATGGACTTTTGTCTCTTGTGAGAGTCTTCTCGGGGATTCTCTATCCTACAACTGGCTCTCTCACTGCGTACCGGAATCAGCTGGCTGCGCTCACCACGTGCAGGACCGTAGTTAGACCGTTCACGTCGTAAGGACAGCGGAGGAGTGTGCCTCTGTTGTTACGACGGTCCCCCTCCAGACTTCCTTGGCTCACCCTGAGGTACCATCTGCTTCCTCAGTTGAGCACGTAGCTCCTCAATCTCTAGACTCATCGAGTCGATGACATGATCACGGTGGTCCTTCTCAACAAACAGCCGTTGAGATGACTGATAGGCGACGACATGATGTCGTTCCGCCGTATGGAGGGTCGGACTGTCGTGGTCCATCAGGTTGTCGTTCCTGGTAAGGAAGGCCAGACCCTTGTCTTTGGTTCTCTCCATTCCTGGAGTCTTCTCTCCAATCCCGGGTTGTGAGGTTTCTTCAATATCCATCGTCGGAGTTCGTCACAAAGCAATCAGAGAACAATTCCCACAGACGGCGCCAAATGTGTGGACCAGTTTCCACAATAGAGTAAGATAGAACTTCATGGACGAACCTTGGTGCACCGATGGGTGAAGGCCTGTACAAGGAGTAAATAGTTAGGCTGCCCGACCGGGGGTTGGTCGGAAACCCCTCCGATGGTCGAGTCAGTATCGGAGTTTGGTAAAGACAAGATAGAGAAGGCCAGTGTGTTTCTAGAGTTAAGAGATCACCCCTTTCAATGAGAGTAAGGTTACCTTTTATAAGGATCGTATGACTTATTCATCAAGCTCCCTCGTTCTCCGCCTGGTCCTCAGTCGTGATGGTAGCACATCCCTTAATAGAGGGGAGCAAGTTCCGTCATTCGCGGGCACCACTTGCCTTTTACTTTACATGGTATTGATTGATCTGTTAGCACTCATGTGTCGTGGAGTGGGAGCCTTGAAGCCCAAGTTATGGACTTACCCACTTCGGAGTGGGGAGTGGTGCTAGGGCCAGGCCCATGGTCTTTTCTTCTTTGGAGTGGGGAGTGGTGCTAGGGCCAGGCCCATGGTCTTTTCTTCTTTGGAGTGGAGAGTGGCGCTAGGGCCAGGCCCATGGTCTTTCCCTCTTCGGAGTGGGGAGTGGGCCAAGACTGATCCCTTAGCTTGGCCCATCATAAAGTAGAGAGAGAGAGCCCACTTCGGAGTGGGGACCTTCATCCAGTACAACGAGACTCCATACAAATAGGCTTGAGTACGGAGTGGGGACCTTCGTCCACTCCAACGAGGTTCCATACAAATAGGCTTGAGTACGGAGTGGGGACCTTCGTCCACTCCAACGAGGTTACATATAAATAGGCTTAAGTAATTGTGCCCCCTTCAACGTGGGACCAAAGATCAACGATGTGAGGATACGAATCTAGGTAAAAGAATACTCTTTCAACTTAATTTGGCTACTGATAATAATATTGTCAATTGGGGTAGTGGGTTTTTCTTCATTTCAAATGGGTTTTGTCGTGGGCTAATTATGTCAATTGAAACTGTCAGGTTATTCTTATTTTTTTCCCAATCTTATCTGTTAGGGATGGTTTGACATGACAATAGACTAATTCCTTCCTGATGGTAACCTATTTTTTGGAAAATTGTGATTCTACGTGTTTGATTTTTGGTTTATTTTAGTAAGAAATTTCCGCTACTCATGTGCTTTCAAGAACACTTACTAAAGAAAGAGTTTTTTCTAATACCTTCATTCACTAAAAGCAACATTATATATAGTTAAATTGTTTGGCTCATTGATTTGAATATGCAAATAGTCCCTTATTCCTCTCTTGGCTACAAATTCTTCGATAGAATGTAAAGTCTTTGGCCATGCTTGGGTTGTGTTGAATGAAAGATATGTTTGGTTGCTTATGGTTGTCTAAGTTTTTTCTCAGGAAGATTGCACTATTTTTTTAGCTTCAATGGGGGATATAATATCAGTACTCCTCAACTCTTAATTGTTTTCCACTTGTTACAGAGTGAAATGCTTCCTAGTTTGTTTTTGAATATATAGCTTTGGTGGCACTTAACATTTTCATTTTATTTATTTAATATATAACATTTCCAGTCCATGAGTAGTTATAGTTAGTACTCAGTGTCCTTGTTTCAAATATTTGAGTTGTGATTGCATTAGTAGTGATGCTACGAATATATTTTGATCCTCTCATTTAGACAAAGAAAGTAAAACCCTCTCATTTGTCAACTTTCTTGTTTTGTAATCCCTTTCTGTTGTAATATTAGCTTTTTGTTTGATACTGATCTTCACCGACATAGTCCTATCATTTGTATTTCTATAGTTTCTGATTACAACACTTTATAAATGTGGTGTTTCCATTTGTGTTTCTTGTACTCATTCTCGCAGATTGTGAGACTTCCAAGTCTACCTGCTAGGTTTTCTAAAGTGGGCGTTGAGCTGAGCCTCTTTCTTGTTCCTTAGGTTGCCCCTTAAGGGGATGATATTTCGACATGGCCCATAATAAGACAAAAGACCCCTCAGCAGCGGTTTTGAATTTAAGGATAGTTTTTGGATGGTTTAGAACTTACGGATTTTTTTTTTTTTTTCTTTTTGAACGTCTTAGACGATTTTGAACTTAAACATAGTTTTTGATGTCTAGAAACATAGTTTTGGATGGTTTGGAATGAATAGATAGTTTTTGGATGTTCAAAAGTTATAGATAGTTTTTTTTGTTTTGTTTTGTTTTTTGGATGTTTGAAACAATATTTTGGTGGTTTATTGGTATATATATATATATATATATTTGTAAAGCTTGTTTCTAAGGTTTTCTTATATTGTACAGGTGAAATAAAACCTGCTATTTTTTTTTTATTTTATAAATATACTGTTACCCAAAAGATAACCTAATAGGGGGGGTGAATTAGGTTTTTACAATTAAAATTAATAATACCCTAATAAAAATTATGACTAGCACAATAGATAAATCTAATTAATGAAATAAAAATAATTAAAATAAGTATCTTAACAACTATGTCAGTTAATGATTTTAGCACAGTAAAAATATAAAATATAGTTGTGGCAATTTAAAATAAAATAAAGAGATAAAGGAGAGAGAAGCAAACAAATTTCTAGCGGTTTGGCTTCAACTCGGCCTACGTCCACTCCTCAAGCTTCACTTGAGATTTTTCACTATACTCTAGCTTCATAGGGTGCTGGTAACATTTTCACAGATGGAGCAATCCTCCACAGATTTTACACAGATTTTCTAAGCCAAGAACACTGAGTGCACTACACCCTTACAAGGTTGAAAAGAATGTGTTTTTGCTTTCACAGAAAGCTACAAGAATTATCTCTCAAAGATAGATATAAAAATGAGACTCTGATTTTTCTGTAATCCTCACACAGGAAAGATGGGCTTATAGCTATACGATTTAATATATAATTTCTGAGAGAGGATGTAAACAAAAATTGAAGAACACTTCTCAGAAAATTTTTTAGAGAATAAATGAGAGTGATTTTATATCAAAGAATATTTTATGGTTTTTTTGGTGTAACTTGTTTACATTAGAGGCTTTGGTATATATAATGAAACTTATAGCCGTTTATAGACATTTATAGCCGCTGTATTCATTTGAATTTATTGTCGTTTATAACCGTTATATCCATTTGAATATCTTTCACTCCATCATTACGAATTTGAATATCTTCCACTCCATCATTACAAATTTGAATATCTTTCACTTGAACCTTTTGAACCTTTTGAACTGCTGTTGTGCTGGGCTGTTTAAACCTCTGTTTTTGGGCTGTTTAAACCTCTGTTTTAGGCTGTTTGAACTCCTAATTTAATCAAATATTAAATACATTCTAACAACATTTAGGATAAAGGTTTATGCAAGAAATAATGGGACAAAATAAATTTTGATTCTATTTTTCTCTTTCAAATAAATTAAAACATAAAATCATCAAAATAAATGTTGATTCTATTTTTCTCTTTCAAATAAATCATCAAAATAAATTTTGATTTTATTTGTCTCTTCCAAATAAATTAAAAACATAATTAAATATATCATAAAAATAAATAAGTCTAACATATACATATTTGACAGTATGCAAAAAATGCTGTGAAATTAGGGGCATTTACGGCAGGCAAAATAGGTCATTGTATTAAATATTCAACGACTAGCAATGAACATCGTGGTTTGTCCCTTTAATTAACGGCGTGCAAAAGTAGTTGTAGAAAAGTCAAACATGACACGCAAGATCCGCTGTTAAAAGTTTTGCCGTTGAAAGTGAATGACTTTTCATGACTGGTTATAACACGAGAGACTTACGTATAGGTCATACTAAGTGGACTTATTGTCCAATAGGTCCTATAATAATTAATGAGATTTTTCATCATGCACTATTAAAAAACATCACTAATTTTTAATTTTCAATGACAGTTTGCAAATTGTCACAAAAAAATGTCACTAATTGCAAGTTTTAATGACAGTTTTAAAAAATCGTCACAAAAAAGTCACTAATTTTCAACTTTTAGCGACAATTTGAAAAATTCGTTGCAGAAAAATGTCACTAATTGTAAGTTTTAGTGACAATTTATAAAATTCGTGACAAAAAAAGTCGCTAATTGTTAATTTTTAACGACATACGTAAAAAAATCGTCACAAAAAATTATTTTTAGCGACAATTATATTAGGATTTATTTTCAATAGGATTTGATGGGAATTAAGTCCAACTATTAGGACCTATTGGTAGTTTACGCTTACAATACGACGTTACCTTGCGCGTCGTAAAATCGTATCCACGGCGTGCATTTGATGCCGTAAAAATCCTTTTTTGTTGTCGCACTAAGCACATTGAAGTCGATTACCACTATGTGCGTAAACAAGTGGTTGTCAAGTAGTTGCATATTCAGCATATTTCTACTTTTGATCAAATTGCTGATATTCTCACCAAGCCTTTATTAGTGAACTGTTTTCATTATCTTCAGGGCAAGCTCGTGGTCAATTCCTCTTCCTTGTGCTTGCGGGGGAATGATAAGATACATGGGCTAGATGAGCATACAGAGCCATGTACTCCAACTAACAAGTGTGCTACTCCAACTAAATCTGTTAGAAGATGAGATAGTTAGTTAACCATGGTTGTAATAGTTAGGTTAAGTGTTAGTCAGATAACTCAAAGTGTAGTTAGACGGTTATGGATATATGTGTAGTATATGTGTGTGTATATAAGGAGAGGATCTGGAATCATTTTGCATAATGAATAATATCTTTGAGTTCTTGTGAATCTCTTTACTTTCACTTACTTTCAAAACAAAATTTTAGAACACACCAAACATGTTTGTAAACTGTAAATTTTGCCAAACGCCATCATAGTGTTCACTGTTTCAGGTTTCTGACATCCAATAGTCACTTTTGATTTTCGTTAAGCATGTGTCAAGATATTTCGTAGAAAAACATCAAAGTTGCCTCTAATTATGGAAAATTAAACATATTCC